CAAATTTAAATCAATCAAAGTTTATTAAACTTTAATAATATGTCTATAACTTGACTTGTCTCCTTAATTAGAATTTTGGCTTTATGTACAGTCAACAGCACATCAGACTATACATTTTTGTTCGAAAATCGCCTCCAGTGCAACAGAACAAGATACGTCAATGTGTAGCTTGATGTGCTGGCGTCTGTACAAAGTACTATAAAATATATTAAAAACGATATAATAATGAAACGTTACAATTTGAATAAATGGGTCAAAAACCACAATCTTTTCCTTGTATGTTTTGGTGGCGCAATTTTTTTTCAGATTTTCCAGTATCTGAGGCCCATTTGTAATAAAATGGCATATATACATGATATATTTTCTTATATTGCAAATGGGTCTCGGATACCGAAAAATGTGAAAAAACAAAATTGCGCTACCAAAACTGACAAGGAAAAGATTGTAGATTTTGACCCTAATTAGAGTTCTTAGCAAAGTCCAAATAATTAAAAATTAAAAAAAACATTAATTTAAAATATTTTTTATTTATAATCATAGCAGTCTTGTCTCCTTAATTATAATAATAAATAAAAATAAACGATGTACTTACTTAATAATAAAACATTACAAATGGAACAAAACAGAGCTTTTCGCAAAGTCTAACAAAAAATAAACATTAATTAAAACTATTTTTACTTATAATCATAATCAGTCTTGTGTCCTTAATTAGAATACTTAAATATCAATTTACCTTAAAAAATTACAAATGGACTGTCACTAGCAGAAATATATGAGGTCTTCGTCATTCATTAGAACATACTCCACAGGGTTTTCATTTATCTGGAGTAGTTCTATTTCTTTCACAATAGAATTTTCAGGTAAATTAGAGTCCTGATCTTTACGTTTAGGGACAATAAATTTGACATTATTTTTATTACAAATAGTTTTATAATAGCAAACGTTGTACTCATTTGACTTTAAATTTATATTCTCAATCACCCCAACATAATATTTCCAAGACTTTGTAAAGTATCGTGTTAAAACTGTATCTCCAATATTGTAATTATTTTTCAATATTTTCTTACTAACTTCACTATGAAGAAGGAGACCATCTTCCTCCAGTTTATTTTCTTTACCTGTCTTTGGCGCAATTCCACGTTTTGTATTCGTAGATAAGTCAAATGTCTTATCGATCAGTTTAAGACCTAAAGGTCTACAAGTATTTAAAAAAGCCCTATTTTCAGGTGTGAATCGTACTGAGGAAAGGACAGTGACTTTCTTATTTTTATCGTTGTGTGTTCGTTTCAGTAGGGTTTCTTCTATCTCATCAATCTGAATCTTTTCTCTACCGTCATAATTCGTCATCAGTAGTTCGTTTTCTGTCCCGTCGATCTGATTTTCTTTAGATATTTCTCGGTTAGCCATTTCTTGCGCGTCATCTATAGCGTCAGAATAATTTTCGCTAATTGTATCTAATAAATCTGAATCACTGTGCGAGCTCATTTCCCCGCTTTCGGTTGTGGTAATGCTTGGAGACATTTTAAGTCGTTTCACGGGTATTTTAGCAGTTTTCTTCGATTGTCTAAATTTTGTTTTAGTAAAATTAGTCAAATTAGGTTCAGGCTTGTTCTTCGACTTATTTTTTTTTTCTTTTTCTTGTGTCTTCTGTTTAACTTTCTTGTCTTGTTCATCTTTCTGTTTTTGTAATAATGTACGTGTGATTACTTCAGCGCCTTTCGCTACACGTTTCAATTTAACATTCTTATTGTCAAGATTGCGAGACTGCTGTGTAAGTTTTTGGAGAAGAAGTTCCTCAAAAGATGTGCTGACGATTGACTTTGCAGGATTTTCAATACGTGTGCCCTTCTGAATTTGAACTTCCGAAGCAGATGTAGTTTGGTTTATGACAGCGATGCATAACTGCTTCAACGTGTTTGGATCTGTTGAAATCTTACATTGATGGATGGCAAATCTTTTGTAAGCAGCCGGGTCGTATTGTTCTTTTTTGATGACTTCAGAGTTAAACGGGTATATGCCTCCTTTTCTGAAACCATTCTGAATAACTTCTGGGCTGGTTTTATGCCACGCTTCCGCAAACATTTCGGAAAATCCATGTTTACGTATTTTAATGCCAACATTGCTGCGTTGCCATTCGACAAGCTTTTTGTCCCAAAAGCTTTTGAATGATTTAAATACCGCTAAATCTAATGGCTGTAGAAGATGCGACGTATGTGCAGGTAGTTTTAAAATTGTGACATTGTTGGCTGCTGCTAGTGCCACAACTCTGTCATCGACGTGAGTGCTATGGCCGTCGTATATTATTAACACCGGTCTCTCACGTCCCAAACCAGGAATTAGGATTTTAGACATATAATTGTAAAATATTTCTGTTTCCATCCAACCACGACTACTCGCGGCGTAAGATATATCAAAATCGTACGTTTCTTTATTCTGCGCCATCCATTGTTCGTATACGTACTTGCCTTTAAATACTATCAAAGGCGTAATTTTTCCTCCAGCCGCATTAACCGTGGTCAAAACGGTTACATTTTCTTTTCCAGAACCACATATAGTTCTGGTGCAAGGTTTGTTTACTCCACCAACAACTTTTGTTTTACTTGGATCCAATGATACAGAGGTCTCATCCAAATTCCATATCCTGTGTGGATCGTTTAGGCTCAACTCCTGAAGTGTGTTCTTCAGTAGAGTGAAATACTCATTAATTACGAATGGGTCTGTCATTCTTTTTCTAAGATACTCGACAGGCTGCGGTTTCTTTATAGACAGATTATGTCGTTTCCGAAATGAAATAAACCAGTCATCACCGAGTTTATTGTTATTGAATGGGGTTTTTATACGGTTTTTTTTAATAAATTCTTCGACAATCAACTTCACTTCTGTCCGCGATAGGCCCCAGCCCCATTTTTCCATTGTACGAAGACATTGTGCCAATCTAGCTTCCATTTCCACAGGAATCGCTGGTGGTCTACCTAGGGTGTGACTAACTACTCCTGTTTTATTTCGGACTCGGTCGTTGAGTGTTGACGAAGGAATACCATATATTTTCGAAGCTGCATAATTAGAGAGTTCGTGATTTCTCACTCTTTCCACAGCGGCCTGTAAATCTTCTCGGGAGTACGTGGTTGCCCGCAGTGATTTTCTTTTATAATTTCGAGGCATGATGGATCTGTAAATATAAACATACACAAATAATCATACCATTACCGGCATAGAGTAAGAATCAATGCAGGCATATTTTATGACGCGGCCGCGAAGACTAATTTTTAAAATGTTTTATTAATTATTAAGATTAGTACCTACGTGACATTGTTGTTTTTGATAACATAACATTTTTCTTAAACATAATACAGCTATGGAATAGTA